CTGAGTAGTCTTCCATTGTATATATATACCACATCTTCTTTATCCATTCATCTGTCAGTGGAAATCTGGGCTCTTTCCATAGTTTGGCTAATGTGGACATTACTGCTATAAACATTGGGGTACACGTGCCCCTTCGGATCACCACATTTTTTGTATCTTTGGGGTAAATCCCTAGTAGGTGACATTAGATTCTTTTGCATCATATAGTAAAACTAGAACATTGAGGATGTATCTTCCTAAAACTAAAACCAAAGCCTGTGTTTACTTTTTCTACTAAGTCCATTTAGGCTTCAAATGTTTTCTCTCCCCAACATTTCTAGACTTGCATCCTGCCCCTTCCCTCTTCTTTTACTATCTCAGCCCCCATCTCCCCACTTCTCTTTTCTGCCTGTGCAGAGGTCTTCTTCCATGGTAGGTAGAATGAAGTACCCCAAAGATGTCCATGTCTCCATTCCTGGAACGTGTGACTATGTTATGTTACGTGGCAAAGGGCAATTAAGGTTGCAGATGGAATTAAGGTTGCTAGTCAGCTGACCTAAAGATAGGGAGATTGTCCTGGGTTATCTGAGGGGGCCCGGTAGAGTTGCAAGGTTCTTAAAAGTGGAAGAAGGGAGCAGAGCAAAGTCAGAGGGGGATGTAACTACAGAAGAGGTCAGAGTGATAGGATGTAAGAATAACTCAACTCACCTTTGCTGGCTTTGAAAATGAGGAGTAGGGCCAAGAGCCAAGGAATGCCAGTAGCTCCTAGAAGCTAGGGCGAGGCAAGGAAACAGATTTTCCCTTACAGACTCCAGAAGGAATGCAGTCCTGCTGACACCTTGATTTTAGCCCAGTGAGACCTATTTCAGACTTCTGACCTCCAGAACTATAAGATAATAAATTCCTATTATTTAAGCTCCTACATTTGTAGTAATATATCATAGCAGTAGAAAACTCATACACTTTCTATCTTAATCTCCTTGGGACAGCCATAGCTTTCCCAGGGAACATGAACAGGCGTTAGAACATAGACTTTCCTAGATACTCAAATGAAAACAATGGTTCATTTACTCAGTTAATGGCAGATCTATTATCCAATGGCAGAAATACTCTTAACAATGGTGATGTAAACAAAGTAGGTACTTAACTTCTCTTCACATAGATGATAGCCAGTTCACTACTGGCATGGTGACTCTACAGTGTCAGTACGCACCCAGATCCTTCCTGCTCACCCCAGAGTGTAAACCTAAAAGTTCAAGGTGGAGCACTATGGTCAACAAGACTGTCTTCCAGGCCAGTATCTGGAGGAAAGGGAGGCAAAGAGCACACCTCCCGCCTTTCAAGGGCACTTCCGCTTATATCTCATTGGCCAAAACTTGGTCATATAACTATACCAACCTGCAAGGGAGGCTGAAGAATGTATATTTCAGTAAAGTATGCCCAGCTAAACTTCAGGTTCTTGTGGTCTCCGTTAAAAAGAAAAAAAAATTGTTATTACTAATGAAAAAGAGGAGACGCGGTATTTGGAGGCAAGCTATGGTTTCTGACACAGGTTACTGTGTGATCTGGTTTGGATATTCAAGGGCAGATGAATAGCTGGCCAGACTCCCAAAACTCCGCCAGGCCTAATGAGGATTTGGTAATTCTGTGATAATCTGTATTCTAGTCTGATAAATTCCAGTTTGGAAGAAATGTTAGCGTCACAGAACAGTGTCCAGGGTCTTATAGATCACGACTACTTCCAACTTTGGATGAATGAAAGAGTTAGGCTACCCTTCTGGGTAAGTCAAGATTCCATCTTGGTCCTGTGACGTTTTGCAGGGGTGTTAGATTTTTGTTCAATTTGGGGACATGTAATTTTCCTGTGGGGCTGAGATGATTGGGTCCCTAATTATGCTGATGAAATCATAGTTGTTAAAGCCCCTTCTTGTTTTTTTGTTTTTACATAAAGATCCCTCCGCTGATCTTCAAGCATATGAAAGTAGAGCTCAGAGATCTTTGTGGTTTCAAAATCCCTTCAGTCTTCCTTTCCATTTTATTGTCTCTGATGCCTTTGAAAATAAGTTGAGGGAACAGTTAATTATCTTCCAATTATACTGTAAATGCTATGCTATTGGGGTGGCTGATTTTGCAGTATTCTTTATAAAATAACACTCACTATGAAGGGACCTCTTTGTTTACAGAGAGTTATATATAATTTCTTTTTTTGCCTTGAAGAACAAGATACCAAGATATAAGAACCAAAGAAGACAATTTATATATTTATGCTCTTTTGGTAATTAAAAATTGTTTTTTGATTTTACTGAATAAGTAACAGTCTTATATTGAACTTACTATGGGTTATATTTCCTTCCTCAGGTTTTCTATGTGTTTTCTTTCCTTTTTGAGATGGTAGCCTGATTTTACTTTATCCCTGGATAAAATATTCCCCAAAGCTAACAGAAGTCATGGTTTTTAATGTCTTCAGAACAAGATTCGACTGTTGACTGAAGCAAGGCTTTAATGCCTCTCATTTCTTGGGTCATGCACTCTAGCTAAATTGCTGCTCTCAGACATTGCTTCACTGTAGGGTGTCAGTGACCTCAAAGGGCACATTTACACAGACAGTCCTGAAATAGCATATGGCACCTTGACATGGAGCGAGACCCAATCAGAATGTGGAGGAAATGGGCACCAAAAATAAAATAGGGTACTTTCCGAAATGAACAACAAAAATAAATTGAGATGGTGGGTCAAGAAAGAATTAGAAGAGAAATGAAATTGGGATAGGACTTGAAGGGGGTAGGGGAAATGATGGGGAGGAGATCTGGCAAAGCCAGAGGCAAAGAAACCATCTCATAATTTACATAAGTACAGAATTCCACTCTCTAAACATTTGTGTTCCATTTCCATATTTATAAAAGTAATAAGTCTGTTATACTGAATACACAATTCTGCTGGTGAACTCATTGATGTAATTAATAATTTAGACATGGCAATCCTTCCCCCTTGACATTACAGATGAAGAATTGTGAGTTAAGTAAATAGTTGTGTCTAGCCATATTTCAAATAGAACAGAGAGAAAAGGCTATTCTTTAAAATGCTGGATAAACAACACCGTGGCAGAAAAGCCACACATCCTATGCAGTGTCTCTGCAGTATAATAGACTGAGGTGGTTACAGTTAACTAAAAAGCTGGTGTTGGATCCCATCAGGAGAACACCGTAAACTTGGTGTCTTTAGTCCTAAAGGATTATTTAATTTACCATTCCTCTCTGCTTGCCTTTCATTCTTCATCATCTGAAGGCACTTAAACAGAGTATCTGACAATAGTAGTACCTGAAAAATGACAACAGTTATAATACATACTGTCAACCTTACCATTTTGAGCTCATTTCATACATTAAGATAATTTTAGTGACTTGCTTTCTTAATTCAGCAGCATATCTTAATTCTAACTGATTTGGTAAACAGTCTTCATTGTTTTTCCCAGAAGAAGGGATGGAAGTGCAGAGGGGTGTGTGTGTGTGTGTTGGGGTGGGGTGGGGTGGGGTGGGGGAGTGCTGTTTGAAAAAGCACACCTCATCTCCTGGTCTGCCTGCAATCAGACTTGGTGCTGGATTGGGGATGTAGAGGGCTGAGAGAGCCAGGCCTGACCACAGCCACTCTTTCGAAGTTCCCCCATGATGATGAACCTGCACATTTGGCAGCTCCTGAATTCTCTGATGCATTCTTTCTTTCTGTGTTCTTTTCTAGTGTATCTGAAAAACCCACCCAGCATTCCAATGGCCAGCAACAACACCGCCAGCATAGCACAAGCCAGGAAGCTGGTAGAACAGCTGAAGATGGAAGCCAACATCGATAGGATAAAGGTGAGGACCACATGACCCACACAGATCCTCCAGCCTTGATTATAAGGAGCATGATTTGCAGCCACCTGTCACTTGACTCCCCTTCTATAGAGAGTGATGAAAGCAGCGAGGGCAGGAGAGAAACTTAGTAATTGGGCAAAAAGTTCATTTTTCTAATGTGTCTTTGCCTTCTCCAGATTTCTCCAGAATAAAATGACAGCATAAATTAAAACTGATTCTTCACGTAGAATTCAAAACAAAACAATAACAGAAAAACAGACAAATGAAAAACAAGCTCATGGTTGAATTCTAGCCAAGGAAATTGGAGAACACACAAAACTTACCAGGTCACCAGTTGACCTCTCTGACTCTGTAGAGACTGTCTTTTCATTTGGGTTTTAGCTTTTCTGTCTTGGTTTAGGTTCTAAGTTGAAGTGTCTGTCTGTCATGATTAATCTTTCTCTTCACCACTGCAGGTTGTAATTATCTCTTTTTAATAACTTACTGGATTTTTTTTCCTTCAAAACACAAAAATCACACATGATCTCCCTAAGAAGTCAAACAGCATAGTGGGTTAATGAAAGTATTTTATCAAATGGAACTCAGAAACATATCTCATTTTATTAAAATAAAGCTAGAACATTCATCCAAATGCCAAATTCTTTTTAAAACTAGGATATTTTTCCTATTTTCTCCATACCAGAGTTAGCAACCTAAACGACCCACCCAACCTTTGGAGTATGCTTCTAGAGCAAAGGTCAATAAATTAAGGCTCATGAGCCAGATCAGGGTTTTATTAGAACATAGCCATTCATGTACATATTGTCTATGGCTACTTTCTCACTACAACAGCAAAGCAGAGTAGTTGCAAGAGAGACCATGTGGCCCACAAAACATAAAATATTTACTCTCTGACCTTTTACAGAAAACTTTGCTGACCCCCAGTCTAGAATAGTGGTTCTCAGCCCACCTGTACATTCAGATTACCCAGGGAACTCTGGAAAGACCAATTCCAAGACCACACTCTAGACTAATTAAATTAGAATCTCTTGGGGTATGATTCAGGCATCAGGTTTGTGGGTTTTTTGCATTTTTCTTTAATTATCAGTTAGTTTCATTGTATAGCCAAGGTAAAGAACCCAGGGGAGGGACACCTGGGTGGCTCAGTGGGTTAACTGTCTGCCTTTGGCTCAGGTCATAATCCCAGGACCCTGGAATTAAGCCCCTTGTTGGGCTCCCTGCTCATCAGTTAGTCTGCTTCTCCCTCTCTCTCTTTCCCTCTGCTCCTTCCCTCCCCCCCACCATCCCCTGCTCATGCTTGCTCTCTCTCTCAAATAAATAAATAAAAATCTTTAAAAAAAAAAAAAAAAGTAGGATCTTGTACATCCATGTTCATAGCATCATTATTCCCAACAGCCGAGAGGTGGAAACAACCCAAGTGTTCTTCAGTGGATGAAGGGATAAACAAAATGTGATATGTATATAATATACATACTATATATGTGTGTGTATGTGATATATATATATGTTTTTTAAGGAATATATATATATTCCTTAAAAAAATATATATGTATATATTTAAGGAATACTAGCCTTAAAAAAAGAAAGGAAGGAAATCCTGTCGCATGCTACAGTGTGGATAAAATAAGCCAGTTGCAAAAAGACAAGTACTGTGTGATTTCACTTATATGAGGTGTCTGAAGTAGTCAAACTCATAGAAACAGAAAGTAGAATTGTGGTTGCCAGGGGCTGGGGAGACAGGGAAATGAGTTGTTCAGTGGGCATAGAGTTTTAATTTTGCAAGATGAAAAAGTTCTAGAGATCTGTACAGTGTGAATATAGTTAACACTACTGTTCTGTAATGTACACTTAAAAGATGGTTAAGATGGTAAATTTTATGTGTCTCCTGCCACAATTATGAATGAATGAATGAATCAAGCAAGCAAGCAGTGAGTCAGTCAGTCAAGCAAAGGCAGCATCCCTGGAGTCAGGTGAAGAAGGTAGGTAAGGAGAAGGAAGTGATGCACTGTGTTAAATGCTGCCAGAAGGTGGTAGTAGCTGAATAACGGCCATCAAAGATACCAGGTCCTAATCCCTGGAATTTGTAAATGTAACCTTATATGGGTAAAGAGTCTTTGCAGATGTGATTAAGTTCTTGACATGGAATCATTATCCTTGATTACCTTGGTGTGCTTCAAATCCAATGATAAGTATCCTTACAAGAGAGAGGCTGAGGGAGATAACACACAGAAGAGAAAAAGGCAATGTGACCACAGAGGCAGAGCCTGGAGTGATGGGACCACAAGTCAGGGATCTCCAGCAGCCACCAGAAGCTGGAAGAGGCTAGAAATGGGTTCTTCCCTTGAGAGTCCAGGAGAGATCATGGCCCTGCTGGCACCTTGATCTCCCTTCAGTGGAACAGATTTTGAATTGCTATCTTCCTGAACTGTGAAAGAATAAATTTCTGGGGTTTTTTGTTTTTGTTTTTTTTTTAAAGATTTTATTTATTTGACAGAGAGAGACACAGCGAGAGAGGGAACACAGCAGGGGGAGTGGGAGAGGGAGAAGCATGCTTCCCGCGGAGCAGGGAGCCGGATGCGGGGCTCGATCCCAGGACCTTGGGATGATGACCTGAGCCGAAGGCAGCCGCTTAACTGACTGAGCCACCCAGACGCCCCTAAATTTCTGTTGTTTTAAGCCATTGAGTTTGTGGTAGTGGGTTCCAGCAGCCACAGCAGACTGAAAAAGATGTCAAGTAAGGAGAGGCCTGAGAAGTCATCATTGGATTTGGAAAACTGGAAGTTGGATCTGCTGCTGACCTAGACAAATGTAGTTTCTGTAAAGTAAGTGGAAGAGAAGCCATTTGGAGGGGCTACAGGAAAATAATGGAGGAAGGGAAGTGGATACAGCGAGGCTAGACAAGTCTTCCAAGGCATCTGTAAGGGAAAACAGAAAAATGGGATTCTTGCTGGGAGGGCATGCAAGGTCAAGGGACAGGTTTTGTTGTTTTTCTGAAGATGGGAGATGTTTGGGCATGTTTATATGCTGATGGGGTTGCTCCAGTAAAGAGGAAGGAAAATTGATGATGCAGGAGAAAATGAAAGAAAAAGGATAAGGCTCAAGTCCTTTAGTAGGTAAGATGGGAGCTAGTGTTGAAGTGAAGGGGTTCCTCACCAAGATATTAAAAAAAAAAAAAAAAGAAAAAAGAAAATCACCACCAACAGCAAAAACCAGGGTATGAGCAGTTCATCATCACAAGAGAAGAGAGGGCAGTATTTATGAGCGTAGATGTGCATGTGCCCATGAGTGGGTGACGTTGGTCATGGGAGAACATGGGCGTGCTCTTCTAGGTACTGCTGGGTGCTGTTTTTCAGTGAAATGAGAAGCAAGGTCATCAGCTGAGGTTGAGGATGGGGATTGAGGAGGATTAGAGGCTGGAGGAGAGAGGAAAAGGTGTGGAAAACATCACTGGAAGTTGACTAAGGAAATGTGGAAGAAAAACTGGACAGCACCAAGGACTTACTTGAAGTTAATATCTGTGGATTTGTGGTTGTGTTTTACTCAGCACTCTTAAGCTGCTCAAGGACAGATTGAGAGTTGGATTCAATCAGGGTTGGGGATTTTTATCAGCTGGTATGATTGAGGGAGAAAGAGGCAGTGTTGTTGTGAGTTTGAAGGGAGTGAACCACATAATAGACCATGGAATCTAAGCCTGGTAAGGTGGCACATGAGGACACGAAGGTTTTGAGGGACACTGAAAAGGAGGCACGCTCAGCAGGTGGGTGTCCTGAATTTTTATAATCAAGGTCCAGCGGGAGTAATCTGGAAAGATGGAAAATAGAAAGCTTGAAATCTTCCTTTCAACCAGCTGGGGTCCTTTTGGTCTTAGGGCTTTTCTGCATATTTGTCCACTCTCCTTGGACATTTAATTTTGGAATTTGGGCTGACACTTAACTATGTTGAAAAAGTCCTAGAGCTGTGGGATACAATGATACACTGACGGGAATGAAACCATATTAGTATCTCTAAAACAACTAACAAGAAGCAATCATTCACCTTAACACTCTCATTTTACAGAAGGGGAAACCAAGGTCCAGAGGGGTTAGAATGACTCATCTGTGATCACTTGACAAAGTTGATACTCAAATCCAGACCTCCAGCCTTGGAATTCAGCACTCTATTACCCCATGCTGATTCCCACATTTTCTTTGTGAACATAGGTTCAGTACCTTGGGGTACCATGGATGTCAGCTCAGAAAACATCCTCACAGCTCTCCTGCTTCCATGCCCCTCTGTCTTCCCTTCATGCTCCCATCCAAAGACACCACACATGTTCCAAAGAGATGGCCTCCAGAAAATTCCTTGGAGAGCTACATAATTTTCTCCTTCCACACAACATTAAACCTATTTTATTAAAGTATAGAGATCAGCTTCGCAAATACAATTTACTCACTAATCAGGGCACCTCATAGTCAAATTTGCTGGGTATTTACATTCTTACAAAAATAGTACAAAAAATAATAATAATAAGGTGAGAAAATTAAGCCCAGTGCCTCTAGCCTTAATAGATCAGACAGTCTCACTGTTGGGTGGTGATCATCATGGCATGGTGAGGGGTCAGCAGAGAGAGTAGGATTGTATGTTTTCATTTCACCAACTCCCTGCCCCCCAACCCATCCTCCTGATAGGATTTCTCTGGGGGCGGGGTGGGACTTAGTGAGAAATCTGAAGAAATTTGAACCTTAATAATTCTTCTGATATTAGACATCCAGAACAGGTTTAAGTCCTTGGTTCTGACACTAGGTTATAGCTATGTTTCGAAGGCAATTCACTTCACCGCTCCGGTCCTTAATTTTGTTGTTGCCGTTGTTGTTTTTCACCTGTGAAGTAAGGTCTTGTTTCAGTGAGTTTCAAATGCCTCATATTTAGCCTCTCTTTTAGGGTTAGTGGTATACATTTGCAGAGGAGTCATTTTGGAGCCAATTTTTTAACTTGCTCATTCCTATAAAAATCCTCA